TGATGTGTGTGTGAGTGCTGGATGTGTGTGTGCTGGATGATGTGTGTGTGCGTGTGCTGGATGATGTGTGTGTGTGTGTGCTGGATGATGGGTGTGTGCGTGTGCTGGATGATGTGTGTGTGTGTGTGCTGGATGATGTGTGTGTGAGTGCTGGATGATGTGTGTGTGAGTGCTGGATGATGTGTGTGTGGGTGCTGGATGATGGGTGTGTGAGTGCTGGATGATGGGTGTGTGAGTGAGTGCTGGATGATGTGTGTGTGGGTGCTGGATGATGGGTGTGTGAGTGAGTGCTGGATGATGTGTGTGTGGGTGCTGGATGGTGTGTGTGAGTGCTGGATGGTGTGTGAGTGAGTGCTGGATGATGTGTGTGTGGGTGCTGGATGATGGGTGTGTGAGTGAGTGCTGGATGATGTGTGTGTGCGTGCTGGATTATGTGTGTGTGTGCTGGATGGTGTGTGTGTGTGCTGGATTATGTGTGTGTGTGTGCTGGATTATGTGTGTGTGAGTGCTGGATGATGGGTGTGTGAGTGCTGGATGATGGGTGTGTGAGTGCTGGATGATGGGTGTTTGTGTGGTGCTGGATGATGGGTGTTTGTGTGAGTGCTGGATGATGGGTGTTTGTGTGAGTGCTGGATGATGGGTGTTTGTGTGAGTGCTGGATGATGGGTGTGTGAGTGCTGGATGATGGGTGTGTGAGTGATGGATGAGTGTGTGTGCTGGATGATGGGTGTGTGTGTGTGCTGGATGATGGGTGTGTTGCTGGATGATGTGTGTGAGTGCTGGATGATGGGTGTGTGAGTGCTGGATGATGGGTGTGTGAGTGCTGGATGATGGGTGTGTGAGTGCTGGATGATGGGTGTGGGGGAGCATTTTTTTTTACTTTATGTGTCTATATTTTTTTTTATTTTATTCCCCCCTCCCTGCTTCTTACCTTGTCAGGGAGGGGGGAGATAGCCTGGTGGTCCGGTGGTATGCTGGAGGGAGCCAGCCGCTGCACAGAGGGGCCATCACACGCTGTGCTCCATCTCCAGCTCTAACTCTCGCGAGACTCGCCTGTGCGGAGCGTTGCCATGGTAACAGCCGCGGGTCTCGCGAGAGTTATAGCTGGAAAGGGAACACAGCGTGTGACGGCCCCTCAGTGCAGGGAGCAGGGCCGGTCTTGCAGGACAGGTAACGGGAACGGCGTTCCTGCTTTGGAAAAAGTGCAGGAACGCCGTTCCCATGCGTTCCTGCAGGACTCGAGCCCTGTTTATATCCATTCATTTTTTACTTCCTGGATCCTGCATATCCTTGGTGGGGATTATACCACCTAAGCTGTCTATACTAGAGCAAGTTACATGCTCTGAAAATTGTAAATACATTACCATTTTCTATTAATTCCATTAATAGTACTTACTTCACTATTGGCTGTTATTCCTTTTTTTTTTAGTACGCATACTGCACTTTGAAATATCTGGACCAGTTGGAACATCACATCCTAAAACGGGGATTATACCGTCCAAGTGCACTACAGCTGAGCTCTGTTATAGCTCATACAAATGTGAGTGGATTGAACTACAAGCTACAATCACTATCTCATAATATTTATTGTTACTGTATTGCACTACTATTTATTTTATTTTATTTATTCCGAGATTTCAGACTCATTGGAATTACCTACAAGTATATGTATGTATTATTTATATTTTTAAAAGCGCGGTTTACATTTTCTTCTTTCGTCTCACGTCATACAGCCCCTCTCAAACTGTGAAATAACAAACAAAAAAAGCCACACACACACACACTAGTTGTACTGCAATATAAACAGATGACCACTAGGGGTGACAGTCCTACATGGAGTGCCTTTAACCTACTAACTGTACTACTTGTGAGCGTAAAGGTGGAATAGTGGTTGATGGGAGATACATCAGACCTGATTTGCTAAACAGCAACCAGAGAATTTTCAGTTAAATGCCCCAGGGAGAGATGTTAAAGTTTGCAATATGCATAGCTGATGCTCTGCAAAACATGGTATGGGTCCCTGGGGCAGAGTATTTGGAGAGCAGGGTGGGCCAATGCTCCAACAGCACTAGTTGCTGTGTAACAGACCACAATTTAGATCTGATTTAAGAGTTAACTAATTGGCACTCAC